TGCTCGACTCAGTAGAGGAAAGAAGGCTCAAGACCATAAGACCTCCCAGCAAGAGCAGACAACTACCTCCCATACTTGTTGCCGCCAAATAAACCTACGTACCAACCTCGAGTTAAAGTTGAAACTTAGATCCAGATACCGCTGAATGATAGGATAACATCTTTTATGAGATACTAAATAGTTCCTAGCACAAAGCTTTATTTCTTTTGTCGTAACATTACGTTAATGGACCAAGAGGTTTAACCATAATATGTCGTGCCTATATGACTCTGGTGAACCGTTTACTTCTCAACTGCCGCCTTAACAGGTGCTTAAGGGTGGAAAGGTGCCAGGGGCGGGTTCTGAGGTTTACATGATGTTGCGTTAGACATATATCATTATTTGTATCTCGGCAGGTGAACTACATTGACGGGCCATCACAAACCGTAATTCAAAAGAAAAAAAAAGTTGTGGATTACCTTTTTCCTGCGTGTCGTTCACTATTACATCCTGTAGACACTGACTATTGTTGACGACTGGCGTAACGATTGCACATGTAATCTTGATTTCAGGGAAGAAGGAATTTTTACAATATTTCTTGAATATACATATTTTTGGGAGAAACTGCAGAATGCAGCTTGACTCAAGTTTTTTTTTTTTTTTTCACGAAAATCAATACAGGACATTTACAACACAATAAGAGACAAATACACCTTCCACACACCATTCACACACTGCAAACAAAGTTCTTACAAATGTTGATTAAACTCAAGTTTATTGACTCAAGTTGACGGCTGAAGCACTCATAGTTGTATACAGAATCTTGAACGTTTGAAATAAAGAAAGTAAAAAGGAAAACATAACTACAGAAAGCAATGAAAGAAAAAAGCAATTCACAAATTGGTCCGTGTCGGCGGTTAAAGATATACTATCTGCTTTAGAATATACCCAAAGTCATATTTTCCATGTATGCAATAAAGGTACTTATTTTTCCCGATTCAGACCTTGAAAGGATAAAACTACTCAAGTTTAAAGAGCAGGTGTCATTATTTTCTTTTGAAAGTTACAGTAAGACGTGGCTTTCTAAACGTTAAGGGAAACTTTTTGAAAATAAATGTGTCAATTAAAAAGAGAAAAGAAGCACTGACTCTAAATGCAGATGATGATGGAACAGTGATAGGTGGAGATTTCTTCTGGTTTGTCGGGAAAATAGCAGATAAGACACCATTATAAATATTGTAAGTATTTTAAGCAACCGGAGAATAAATATGCATGTACTTAAATACTTCTATACGCATATACATGTAGTTATTAAAACAAATACAAACATTTGCCATATTAGTTCACAGAAAAATATAATTTTTACTTTGTATTTATCTGAACACCAGAAATGTAAAGAAACTGAGTCTGAGAGAGAAAGAGACAGAAAGAGAGAGGCTCTTGTAACACTGGGCTTACAACACCGCTTGGTAAACGAATTTCAACCCTCAACGCAAAAACATGATATTGATGACTAAAGGCTGCCAAAATTTCGGTTCATTTCCAGCTTATATATGAATTTGATGTTTACTTCAAATTATTGTCTAAACCCAACTTTGTATTAGTGGGTGTGAGTGGGCAAAAATTAGTTACACAAGCGGTCTCAAACCCGGTGTAACAGACATTTAATTCAACACCTCGCGTGCTGGACTGATATAGCGACATAACAAGTAAGTTTTTACTGTAAGCTCCCCACCTTTTGTTCATTTAACGACCTATTAACGCAGTTATTTTCTCGAAATGAATATTTCTCTCTCCATCAATGCTTATTTATACGCAGCTCAACGTTAAGTTATCGTTTGATCTAACTGCTGAATAATAATCTATTGTATGCTTTATTGTAAGTTTTCGATAATGAACTCGAGAATTTGCACACTTACATGTACATGGACAGGTAAAGCGCCCCCATAGTTTTTGGGTAATGAGTTGCCATTTCACTGGCATTGTTTTCACAAATTGTAAAAGCCATTAAAGAAAATAAAACCACAACTAATGTGGTTTTGCGTGACTTGATATACATAAAAAGAGGCCCGCAAGTGTCTTTTGTGGCACCCAACCGTCACACCACAAAAGAAAATTGCAATCAGGAACTATTACAATGACCATTTATAAATCAACTTAATTGGAAATCTGTCATAGATATAGCATTGTTTTTGTGTCATGGCATAGCAAACCTTTTCTGAATATTATTTCCGCCAGACGTAATTTTGTAAGTGACTATTAGTGAGAAACCAATGAATCATGCCGTTCAACATCTTCACTGTCAACGAAATAAGACGACGCGTGACCTACTTCTTTTATATTATGAACATTGGAGTACTTAAGAGTGTTTTTATTTTTTTGGGGGGGGGTATGAAGTAATTGCTAGGTAATAGAAATGCGTTTAAATTGCTTTACTTGCTTCGCTGATAATTTCGGGTGCGTTACAGTTAGAAGTAGTCTATTTGCTTGCAGAAATTTTAGACCTATCGTGAAACATACTTTAACACCCGTGCAGGCCTAACCACGCGGCAACATTGCTACAGTTGAGATGTCGTTGAACTACAGCTGCTGGATACTGTATGTCATATCCATAACACACGATACGTTAGGGCCTACTCCTTAAAGAGTGAGGCGAGTAATCGTGAATATTTCTATATCACAATATATATATTAAAAAAGACACATCAGAAAGATAGCACATGTATCACAATGTATATCTTATTGCAAATGCACTGGTTTCAAAGATGTTAATAAATGTCTTTCCTTTTTTTGTGTCAGTGTGTGTGCATGCATGCCTTGTTGGGTATATGCTCTAAAAGCACATTTATGCCGATAAGTATGTATTGTTTGTATTTGTTTGTTCACGCTCCTACACTATAGCGGACGTGTAATCTACCAAACGAAAAACAAACATGTGTGAAACAAGCTCCAATATCATCGAATAATAACGAGTAAGAATATAATTTTTATTTTGAATCGCTTCTGTAATTCCCGGTATTTTGAGTGTGAAAGGTAGCAAGATCAAGACAAAGTAATATCTGACATATGGTCTCGAATGTGTAGACCATTTATCTTTCTCTTTCAATGCCAGTGCGTATTTATAAAGAGCGCTTGTCCGTTTAATTATATAAGTAAAGTAAAATGAGTGGAATATTATCATATTATTTGAATGTTCAGTTAACTTAAATATCAATCTTAATTAACAAAACAATTGTGCAATTTCCTTTGAACTTTTTTCACAGTATACTACAAAAAAATATTCTCATCACTAGCAACTGCCTGCCATAACACAAACAACGACACACGGTCATAATTTTCCTTCTTTAACAACAATCCAACCAGCTGCACAAAAGTTCTTCCTATCTCCTACAAAAATATATGCAAGTAGGTACCATTTAAACATGTTATTTCAATCTATTTAGGACAGAAGATAATGGATCTTATTTTGCCTCTATTTTAGACAGTGTCCGTGAACATGGAGATGTCCCCACCAGCGCCAAGGACCAGGTCAAGCGGGTCAGAGTAGCCATTTATTGCGCACCATGACAACGCTTTGTCAGCTACAGCGTGCACTAGCGCGTGGCTAACAGGGGCAAATATGGCCCCTCTTCCACGCTTTGTTAACACGCCGGTGGACTCGTGTCATCTTGTCCAGAGATAATACTATCAGTCCAAAGTGGAATAATAATAATAATAATAATAATAATAATAATAATAATAATAGTGATAATAATAATCATGTCGGCGACAGAACAGGATGGGGCTGTGAGATTTTTTACTCATGGTGGCTCTCAATCTTTCCACATGTTCTAGGCCAGTATCGCCCATCAGTATGTCTATAAATTTATCTGATTCTCGGTCTCTACTGAAGTACCGAATCTTACGTTGTTATGTGATGAGCTGTTGGCAAGGCGTAGTCGTGTGTCTACATACATGGCCATAAAGTGTCTTGTGCATGTTTGGGAAAGTTTGGAGAGGGAACCAAAAAGAGCTGTATTTCGCACTTGCCCATCACTGCTGATGTTTCGTTCTGATTGTAAACACAACTGTGCGGTTGATTTTCCTGTTTATTAACTTAGCCACAAATGATGTAAAGCTGATGTCACGGAGGTTGTCTGTAAAATCGGGATCTCCAAATGGGTGCTGGAGTTTTATTTACGGTTGTGAAGAAATCCTAATTTTACACGTCCAAAGAGTTAATATGCATAAATATCATTATAGCTTCAATTCTGGCTCCGCCCATGAGACTGCACACCCGGAACATATATCATTTTAATCTGAACTGTTGCTACCAACTGCCGCTAGGAACGCCTTCCTTAACTGATCACGTAAATAGCAGGATTCACCGCAGAGTTCAAAGCCGTTAGCTAAACGAACGCCAATCGAATACTCAGCGTGAGAGGATTGTTCAACTCTCTATTATCAATTTTAAATGCTAAATTTTGATTCTGTCCATGAGAATGCACATTACATGCACTGGGCCCTGTTTCGTATGGGCTAGATTGCAACTTCTTACTGTCTACTGCCTCTAGAAACGCCTTCCTAAACTGCCGGTATCTGATCACGTAAATAACAGGATTCACCGCAGAGTTCAGAACCGCCAGCTGAACAAGCGCCAATCGAATCTTCAATGTGAGAAGATTATAGTTCATGAAAGTGTAACTATGAACGCCGAGCATTACTATAATAGGTGTCCAACACGTGAAAAAGCACGCCAGCACAAGATCAACCGTGCGTGATAGTTTAGCCATTTTGTGCTTGTCATGTGACAATGAATTTATTTGCGCATGCTCGATTTTAATGTACATGAAGAGTATCCCTGCGGCGTTAAATACGAAAAAAGGTACTAGGACCCAACTTATGTAGATCTCCGGGATGACCAAGGACAATTCACACTCTTTGTCCTTTTCAAATGACCAATCCTTATGCCAGAAAATCGGCATGACAAATCCAAGAACAAATGCTGGAATCCATATTGAGAGAGCCACACCAACGAACCACGCTTTTTTGTTGCGTGACATATGCTTTAGTGGGTATATTATGGCAAAATATCTGTCTACTGTAATCATGAAAAGCGACAGAACTGATGCCATGCCGGGGAAAAATACGAGAGCATACCATAAGGTACAAATATAAATGTCCTCAAATAAGTAATCGTACGATACCGTAGCTGCATGAAAGATGAGGGTCAGCCCAGCAATTAGGTCCGTAACTGTTAATTGTACCATCATAACACTGTTACTTGTCCGTAATCTTTTCACTCGGCAGTATGCCACGAGCACTATACAGTTGCCAACGCAGATTAAAACCATTAACATAATGAAAACTGATATCATCCAAGGTTTACTCCATTTTGTGACTGCTGCCGTCGAGTTCTCAACACTGGTTGAATTTGTCCCTATGTTGGAAAAAGTCTTTAAAATTCCTTCAACTGTATCATTCATTTTGGTTCTGTTGTAATCTGTTAAAGTGTAGTTCGTTATTTTGTGACTCGGGATAAATCGTCCTTGTTAAAAACTGCAAAAGAGATTGAAATATTTTAATTAACTGTGTTGGCAAAATTTTTCTTGACTAAATACGTCTTTTTTTTTCTTTCCTTTAATACTGAAATTTTGAGGTTGAACAGGAATGCAGAGTCTAATCATATACCGTTTCAGATTTTAAGATATATTTCTCAATGTTTCCCTAGTTTCGTTATTTAAACGTATTTCACTTTCCTGAGCGTTGGTAATTTCATTGTAATGTATCATATAGACGTGTTTATTCCTCGCTTGAGAAAGCGAAATGCCACGGTTCGGACTATATATATATATATATATATATATATATATATATATATATATATATATATATATATATACACTTTAGTGTGAACAANTGTCAAGTCTGTATGTATATATATATATATATATATATATATATATATATATATATATATATATATATATATATATATATATATATACTCAATACAATATGAAATATGATTGCCCAAACAAACAAATCCACATTTTTAACCAATTAATACAATATGAGATCACATATAAATTTATGAGCGAGGGTCCCGTGGGCACGTCATTTCAATCGCGGGACGGAAGTGATGTTGAGTTTCACATGGGAATGTATATCCCAAGCACAAAAAAGGTAAAAACAAACATCTCTATTAAACGTAGAAATCGATTATAAAAATTTTAATAGCACACAACCAAAACTAAAGGCACTTTAGTAAATCATAAACAATTGAAGTCATTATTGTTAAAATACATGTTAACATTCGCACAGGATTCAGTTTCGTTCAGTGACCATAACAAAAATAATAACGTTGAACCAAATTTCAAATAAAAAAGAATAATCACGGAAACGTTACCGAAAGACCCCATTCTTTTTTTTTTTGACGGCACATGGTTTATTACGCTCCTACAGTTTTAGAGAGAAGAAATTTTCCCACCTGGAGTGGCCATCTCTCAGGAATTTCCACCTGCAGTATCCGACTGTGAGGAATTTCCACCTGCACCTCCTCATGTCTTTTGATCTTTATGACCAGTAAGAATTGCTTCATGGCCTGACGCTGAACAAAAAAGAAAAAAAAAACGACTAAAGATCGAGTTTTAATTCCTACTATGTTAATACATGCATTACGGTCCCAAAGACGAGTGAAACTCAAGTTTCAGCTCTGCCTTGCCTCTTCTCTCATTTCTTCCCTTCTTCAACTATTTTTCCAACTGCAAAAAAAAAAAAAAAAAAAAAAAAAAAAAAAAAAAAATGCGTTTTTTTTTTCCTGCTAACTCTGTTAAGTCGTCCGTGCGCATCATTTACGTATTCATTCGCCTTTGTTCAATTCTAAGGTCACGAGGTGATGCTAAATATGTCAAGGCTGTATGACGTTATAAGATGGCGGCTCCCTTTCCAGGATGTTAATGTAGCAGAGCGATCGTTAAAATTAAGCTAAAACAGGGCTAACTAGAAATAAACTTCACCAAGATACAGGAAGGATCGTAGTGCAACTCGGTCACGTTACAATACCATGGCAATGGCTTCGAAAAAGCTGTGTAACGTCTTCAGTGAGAACTTTTTAACGTGTCATATATGCCTGGAGGAATATAAAGACCCGAGAGTGCTCCCCTGTTACCACACGTTCTGCTTTGAATGCATTGCTGACCATGCAGCCAAAAATGGTGTCCAGAACAAGTTCTCCTGTCCCGTATGTCGCCAAGAGGCCCCCGTACCACCAGGTGGGTTAGAAACTCTCGTGAAAAACTTCTTCTTAAGAAAAGTAACAGACTTCATGAAAGATAAGAAAGCGCCAGAAGGGAGACTTTGTGAATATTGTAACCATAAAGAGGCCACTTTCATGTGCCAAGGATGTCCAAAAACCAACCAACTGTGCGCTACATGTCGCGAGGTTCACGACAAAATACCGGCATGTGAAGGTCATTCGATTGTGCCTCTGTTACAAGTAGAATCGTCAGCTAACCCAGTTAGTATAGAGCGAACTAATTATGACGTCATCATTTTTCCCGCGTGTCCTAGCGTCGCCATATTGGTAGTCGGAAGCAACATAGCGGTAGCACCGGTCGATTTTCACTATTTGCTTTAAAATGCCGACGATGTGTGCCGTATATGGCTGTTCAAACAAACATGGTGCTAACAAGGAAAACAACAGGTCATACTATAGGCTGTCAAAAGTCATTGCCAATCAAGGGGACAGGACAAAAGAACTCTCACTTGCGAGACGTGTAAAATGGCTTGCGAATATTGGGAGAGCAGATATCAAGGAATCAAGCTACAAACACATTCGTGTTTGTTCGGATCACTTTATGGGTAAGTTATATGTGAAGCAATGTAGTTATGTTTATATTTGATCGTTTCTTTTAAGTATTTTGTGTGATATGTACTTGCTGTTTCAAGTATAATTGACAAGTGCATAGTACGCCATTTTTGCTTTTTATTTCCGCATGCAGATCAATTTTGCATTAATTAATAGCCTTAATTGGAAATAATCATGGTGAAAATTGATTATTGCTTGTAATTACCAGTAAAATAATCAGAAAACAAAAATCATTTCACGTTTTCAGTACACAAATATTCTTTCATGGGTTCAGTATATGACATGTGTATTATCTTTTTTCCCATAGATATTTTTGTCTTCTAGATAAACCAGCTGCATTGTATGACCATCTGAATCCTGACTGGGCTCCAACCGTTAACATGGGTAGAACTTCTCCAAGTGACAGCATGCTATCTGGGTCTGCCTCTGACAGATACACTCGGTCAGTCCAGAGATCTGTGAAGCGGAAGAGGCAAGATGCAGCTGAAACATTACTGTCATTGCAAAGTGCCCCTGAACTTGACACACCAGAAGACCCACAAGAAGACCCGCAAGAAGACCTTCATGAAGACCCCTTGCCAGCTGAGACGGGAACAGCTTGTCAAACAGATGATGACATGAAGTTATATGATGCCAAAGATGCTGAAATATATAGACTACGAAAAGAAAACGAAGAACTGAAACAAATTAATGAGAAACGTACATTCGACATGGCTTTTTTGAAAATGATGATGTGTTGGTTAGATATTACACTGGGCTGCAAAATTACCATATTCTCAAGTGTTTATTTGATTACGTTGAACCAGATATTATTATTCAACGCAAAAGTATACTAAACAAATTTCAGCAGTTGATCTTGGTGCTCATGAAGTTGAGATTAAATCTGGGCAACAAAGACTTGGCTGTAAGATTTGGCATATCTGATTCAACAGGTTCTAGAATATTTCAGAATGTCTTGAGTGTTTTGTATGCTTGTTCACTGCCTCTCATTTATTGGCCAGAAAGAGAGCAACTTCAAAAAACAATGCCCATGAGTTTTCGTGAACATTTTGACACTAAAGTTGCTGTTATTGTAGATTGCTTTGAAATTCCAATGGAATGTCCATCCAATCTTAAAGCCAGAAATGAGACCTGGTCTGCTTATAAACACAGCAATACAGCAAAGTTTTTGATAGGTATCACTCCGCAGGGTGTTGTCAGCTTTATATCAGATGGCTATGGAGGCAGGGCTAGTGATAAGCACATAACAGAAACTTGTGGTTTACTCAATAAACTTTTGCCTGGTGATGTAGTCTTAGCAGATCGGGGGTTTGATATACAGGATAGTGTGGGTAGCATGTGTGCAAAATTGTACATTCCCGCCTTTACCAAGGGCAAACCACAGTTAGGAGCACACGATGTTGAGCAAACAAGGAGAATAGCAAATAGTAGAATTCATGTTGAACGTGTCATAGGAGTTGTTCGTCAGAAGTATACTATATTACAATCAAGGTTACCTATTGATTATTTTTCAGCAACAAAGAATGATGCTGTTCTTACAATTGACAAAATAGTTGTAGTCTGCTGTGCACTAACAAATCTATGTGATTCTGTTGTACCATTTGATTAAAAGAAATTGTAAGGAACTTAAAATATTGTTAATTTTAAGAAAGCATATATAGTGTTATTCATTTTTGTAATCTCAAATTGATATACAATCGAAAGTCATTTTGCAGCACTTTAGAATTATGTGAAAATCATTGGATGTATTTGCATCCGCTACTCGAATGTTTAAACTTGGGTATGTGTCATGAGATCAAATAAAATTTGTGAACAACATATTTCTATTCATTCATTCATTTATTACCATCATCATTTTAATATTTCTTTTTGCAGACACCTGGGTATTGCAGAACATAAATACATAATGGGATTGTACATACTGCACTTATTACAGAAATGGCAAATTAAATTTAATTATTCCCTTGAGCATCAGTGGAGATGTTGGTATATACCCATTTTTCATTAAATTTTACATATAACTTCATAAAACTTAAAATTAAACAGTTCAGCTGTATATAAGACAAGTAACATGGCAAATCAATCATAAAATCTACAGGAAGGGCTCGAGTCTGACACTATGGCAAGCAGTAATAAAAAAATGTAGCAGTCCCAGCACCAAAATTACAACTTAACGAACTAAAGCAAATACCTTTCTTACAAATGTAAAAGGACAGGAAAATGCAAAATTCCGATATAAATTCTGTACAAAATCACAACATCATTCTAGGTACTACTATGACTAATAAAAAATATACACATATAAAAATTCAGTTTAAATTCCTGAGCATTAACACATTTATGCACAATATCACATCCATGAACTGGAAATACAAAAAAAAAAAAAAAAAAAAAA